AAATTCAATGTGATTTTAGGCAGAGTGAGCTTGGCGAGCAAGCCAAAATCAATGGAACAGGAGCCAGCGACACAATGCAAATAGGAGGGATGAGTCATTGAAATGGACTGTTGTAAATAGTGTATATACTCAATAAATATTCAAGCGTAGTCTTAATAAACGATTTCATGATTGCGGCCCAGTCTTCTTGCTACCTGATGGGTAACGCGACATGGTGACAGAAGAGAAGAAGCCGACGCGCCGGAACCCACTCGTTTTTGGTGGACAGCCGTCGATCACTTTGCCGACTGCTCTGCAGATGACTGAAGGCATGCTACCAAAGAACTGGAGTATGTGGAAGGCGAAGTGGATGGATTTCGTCACCCTGACCATCTTGAATAGTCAACCAATGGCGTACAAGTTGGCGATGTTTAGGCTCGCTGTGGAAGATGAAGCCAGGAGGGTGCTCGAAACATTGGAGCTCAGTGAGACAAGTGAGGAAGTCGAACTTTCGGAAGTGCTGGGAAGATTCGGGGCGTCCTGCGAAAGCCAGGTAAATGAAACGTATCAGAGGTATTTATTTTTTGTTCGCGATCGATCCCCAAGCGAATCGTTCGAGACTTACACAACAGAACTGAAACTGTTAGCGTGTAACTGCAACTTCTGCAATTGCATGCGAGACTCCTTGATACGTGCTCGTATTGTCCTTGGCATAAAGAATGATGAGCTCACTCGGCGCCTTCTGAGCCAAAGGAACCTGTCTTAGGAACAATGTGTGGACGTCTGCTTGAGTGAAGCAAGGACGGCGCAGCAGTTCGAGCATGTGAGAGCCGAAACAAGCACAGATCTGTGCGCGGTATCTCGAACCAGCAATAGTCCGCCCCAGGCACCCGAAGGACAGGGTCCGAGTTTTCAGTTTTGCGGTCGTGTACATCCAAGCAGCAAGGAGAGCTGCCCAGCTTGGGGTCGAACGTGCACAAAATGTTCCAAGAAGAATAATTTTGCTCGCTGTTGCAGATCCGCTAAGGCCAGCCCAGTAGTCGAGAGCGTCAACAAACAGTTACAAGAATTTTCGATAAGCTACTTGGAAAATCGTGGAGAACACAAGTGTGTTTTCGCGACGCTTTTGATTGGAGGACGACCGGTGCGCTTCCAACTGGACTCAGGGGCTACTGTCAACATCCTACCTGAGAAGCACTGTGTGGGAATGACATGTGACAGAACGCAGAATTGCCTCAGAATGTGGAATGGTTCAAAGCTGCTGCCGAAAGGTACCGCCACGTTGAAGGCCATCAATCCGAAAAACGGCACAGAACACCAAATCGATTTCCTGATAGTCTCAGGAGACTTTATGCCCATTTTGGGTATTGATTCTATTCAGAATCGGTTTTGTCTCTTTTAACCATGAAAGTTTCGTCCATTCGTGTGCAGATAACATAGATATTGTTGACAGCTACCCAAGCATGTTTGACGGGATCGTAGGGAGATTCGAAGGGTGTGCTCATTTATCTTTAATCGAATCCGCTAAGCCGGTATTGTTGCCGACCAGAAAGGTGCCTATTGCCTTACGTGCGAAATTTTTAGATGAGCTGCAGGCTCTTGCTAGTTTGTGTGTAATAGCCAAAATTGAGGAGCCGACAGATTGGGTTAGCCAGGTGGCGATCGTTACTAAGTAGTTTGGAGAACTACGCGTGTGCATTGATTCAAAACCACTTAACGCCGCACTCAGGAAGTAGCATTATACGCTACCGACGCTAGACGACGTACTTCCGGTGCTATCCAGAGCTAGAATATTCACTAAAGTTGACCTTGCTTCTGCGTTTTGGCATGTATTACTTGAGGGAGATTCAAGCTACCTAACCACGTTTGGGACAAATTTCTGGCGTTTCCGCTGACTTGGTTTACCGTTTTAACTGAAGGCATCTAACGAGATATTTCAGCAACGACTGGTGTAGTCTTTAGACGATTTACTAGGAACGAATTGTGTATAGCAGACGACGTTTTGGTTCTTGGCGCAACGCGAGAGGAGCACGACCAGAACCTTCACCGATTTTTGCAGCGCTGTTTAGAAAGGAACATCAAGCTAAAACGAGAGAAGATCGAGTTGCGTAGGACGGAAGTGGTGTTTCATGGACATGTGCTAAGCTCCGAAGGACTGAAACCAGACCCAGAGAAAGTCAGGGCCATCAAACAGATGCCTCCTCCTACTGACGTGAAAGCCGTTAGCAGGCTGAATGGGATGGTGAATTACCTAAGTCGTTTCTTGCCCAGATTAGCCGATGTAATGGTACCGATTCGAAAACTGACGCATAAGAGTGAGAAGTGGCATTGGGACGCGGAGCCGGAGAGAGCATTTCAGAAAATAAAGGAATTGATCAGGAGCGCCCCTCTTCTCGCTTACTATAACCCAGCATTCCCGCTCGAGATCCAGTGTGACAGCAGTCAGTATGGTATCGGAGCCGTACTCATGCAGAACGGTACGCCTATCGACTTTCGCAGCCGGACGCTGACAGAGACCGAGCGTCGTTACGCGCAAATAGAGAAAGAAATGCTTTCATTGGTTTACGCCGTGGAGCGTTTCAATGACTATACGTTTGACCGCAAATCCACCACCTTTACCGACCACAAGCCCCTTGTGTCGATCGCTAGCAAGCCGCTCCATGTTGTTTCACGCCGCCTGCAAAGGACGCTTATTCGTCTGCAGAAGTATGATCTAGAGATTTTCCACCGGTTAGGATCCCAGATGCACATTGCGGACACGCTGTCAAGAGCGCACATGTCAGACTCGCCAGGAAAGGAATAAGACCCAACTTTTGTCCATGCAACCCAGCTGATCGTCGTCACTGAGGAACACTTGCACCATCTCCAACCATACACTGAGAAGGACGAATTGTGTAGGCTACTGAAGCACACGATCATGAACGAATGGCCCGAAGCCAAGAAAAAGTTACCAAAGGATCTGACTCCATTCTTCCATTTTCGTGATGAACTCATTGCTCAGGATGGATTAATATTCAAACGCACCACAACAATGGTTCCAAATGCACTGCAGCGTTCGATGCTGGAGCTGATACAATGTGCACATTTAGGAACCAACAGCTGCGTGGCAAAAGTTAGAGAACTGTTTGTTCTGGCCCGGAATGACCAGCCAACTACGTGACTACGTCTCCAATTGTGTAGCATGCAGAGCACACGACGTACGCCAGCCAAAAATACCGATGATGCTACGTGACGTTCCTGACAGATGGTTGCACTAGACATTTTTTCTCACGATGGAGGGAATGATTTGATTGTGGTAACTTATTTTAGTGACTACTTCGAGATCGATGCACTTACGACGACTGGTATGCAATCCATGGTGAACAAGTTGCGATGCCAATTCGCCCGGCATGGAATACCCGAGGTGGTGATTTCAGACAACGGGCCGCAGTTTAATAGTGCAGAGTTTCGTGCATTCAGCAAGAAGTGGGATTTTCGTCACCGGCTAACCAGCCCGTACCATAGCCGACCAAACGGTAAGGCTGAGTCCGCAGTGAAGTAGGCGAAGCAAGTGCTTACAAAAGCCAAGGAGACCCAGCAAGATCCGTACATAATGTTACTGGATCGAAGGAATACACCATCTACTGATACTGGAGCGAGTCCTGCACAGCGTTTATTCAGTCGCCGAACAAGAACGCTAATACCGACCGCTACAACTCTACTGCATCCCGAGATAGCGCCGTCCGATGTCCTACATGACCGACTATGGAACAGAATGCTAAGGCAAAAAGTACTATGATCGTGGATCGAAAAGCCCCCCATCACTAGGTACTGGAGAAGAAGTGTGGGTACAGGCATTACCGGAACCCGCTGGATGCTGGCGGAAAGGAGTGAACGAAGGCCGGAAGGGCGAGAGGAGCTATGAAGTCAAGGTTGGGGGTCATCTCATTCGACGGAATCCGGTGCAACTGAGAAGAGTGCGTCAGAAGTGGACACCGCAGAGAGAGGGTCAGCAACAACAACCGGAGAGGAATACTGCTACCCAAGTCCAGGACATGAAACGCACACGAAGTGGTAGGCATTACGGAACGTATTACAACGTCATCCTAAAAAACGAAAAAGGATAAGATGTGATAGGGGCTGGAAATGCTGGTGATTGCCAATGCTGTAATGCCGATCGAACGTCACAGGCCAGACCAATAGTGAGTGAGCATGTTGCCGGAAGCAGATTGGTCAGTCAATCAGGGAATAGTTGGCCCGTAATGGTGTCCACCCTGTAACTATCCGCTGCACGTGTAAGTGACCAATCAAGCGCCAGCAGACGAAGGAGCACATACTCGTGCAACCACTGCACCACACTTGTCCGTGAGGACAAAGTAACATCGACAGTGCCTAGCTAAAAATTTCCTGGTAAAGAACAAACTGCAGTATAAGCATGTCAACAATCTTCTTAAAGTCAAGCATGGAATCCCTCCACTTTTCACGACAGACGGTAGAGTAAAAGGCCTCGAAGAAGCAGCTAGTGCACTGCGGCTACAATACGTCTCAATTTTCGAACTCGCAGCCTCTACCTGTCCCATAGTGTTATGCACATTACCGACTCCACTGTTTACACATGTACTATTTAACCCATCAATTATGCTAAGGAAGTTATCCTCACTGTACAATCTTATTTCTCCGTGAGCCGACAACATCCGCCGGAAAGCACTGAAGGCTGTGGACAACAAGCTAGCTGAACCAATGTCACAGTTCTTCCAAAGCTGCGTTGCTGAACAACAAGTCACTACTATGTGGAAGCGTGGCATTATCCTCCCAAATTTTAAAGGCGGTAGCCATTCAGAGCCTGCAAACTATCGCCCAGTGACTCTCCTCCCTGTGTTTGCGAAGCTGATGGAAGCGGTCGTCGCTGAGGCTTTAATGGACTAGCTGGAAAAACGCAACATCTTGGCACCGGTTATGCACCACCAACCCACTGATTGCAGGAGGTACTTGAACGAAAGTGGCTGATGATGAGGTCGGAGTTGACGTCATCTATCTGAACTTCTCCAAAGCTTTCAACTGCCTGGATCACCGCATCGTAATTCCCAGGCTGCAGAGGATTCGGAGATCCTCTGCTTGGTTGGATTGGCAACTTTCCTCACTAACAGAAGTTTCAAGTACGCGTTAGGGTATCACGCTCTAACCCGATTGAGGCGGAATGTTGTGTCCCAAAAGGCTCAGTGCTGGGACCGCACTGATTTCTGGTGTTAGTCAACAAACTGGCAAGAGTTTTCTCCTTAAGTTTCCTGCTTTTCGCAGATGACATTAAGATATGGCTGGTGACTAGTAACAAAGAAGAGCACGCTCTACTCCGACATGACCTAGATTATATTTTTGAATGGTCAGTTGAACATAGCTAAGTGCATGGTAATCCAGCTGAGTCGCCAGTTGGTGAGCGATTACAAGCTTGAAGACCACACCTTGCAGAAGGCCTCTCAACAGCCTGACCTGGGTGTACTGGTACAGGAAGATCTCGGGTGTTCCAAACAAGCAGAGAAGGCGACGAGAACAGTTAATCAACACTAGGGTCTGCTTCGCAGTGCATTCGGTCAGTTTGAACACTCAATCTTCCCCCAAATGATTAACGCCTATGTGCGG